GAAAAAAATCAAATAATCGGGACACTTAGAGTAAAATTAAAAGACTGCGAAATGTATTTTCGAGGACAGCTTTCTATTCTAAAAATGTATTTTTTTCAAATTCTACTCTTCCATCTTCCGTAACCACGTGGGAAGAGGATGAGGCAAAACCGACTAAAGAAAGCCCGCACTAAAGAAATAAGGAAACTAAGGAAATCTGTGCCATTTGCACCATGCACTGTGCACTGTGCCATTTCTCACTTTATCGCGTTACTTCGAAAGAACAGAAAATATTGGAATCGTGCGCCGAAATCCATGTTTTTTGTTGTTGTTTTCGAAAAAGAAAAAAAGGAAAACTTTTATTGTTGGACCCTGGTAACAAAAAATGGATAACACTTCGCCTGTCCGTTTGGGATCAATGCTAGAGCCTGAACAGATCAGAAGATTCTCCCCATAATTGATATTTCACTATCTATCTGAAACCATTCCAGACCCCACAATTTGAAATGGACATTTTGATAGAGGGGGGGGGGGCATTACATGAAACTTCATTATTTTAATATTTTTTAAATGACTCCCAAATTTTTTATTAAATTTTTCGAAAATATGAGTACTGTTCGCTTAGTTTCAGCGAAATATAGTAAATGTTTAACATTTATTTTCTCGCAAACGGCTCCAACATTTAAAAAAAAATTCTTCCTCGTCTGTATTGTCCCTGAATAGTAAAAAAAATGGGTTTGGTCCCATTTAGGTAGAACTCTCTGCATTGTCAAAAATTGCAAAAAAATAACATTGAAAAAGTATAGTTGGAGATTACTGTCAGTCAATTTTATTTCCACGCGTAGTGCAAATGGCCCTATTTTTGTAGAACACCTTGAATTTTTTTAAATTGCGAAAGTTAGAAATAATGAGAGAAAGTATGTGGACTAATTTCATTTTTGGTTCGAAATTGTGTTAGACTCAGAAAGCAGTTTACTACACTGGAGTGTTCATCGATTGCGTTGTCGCAAATGGCGATATTTCAACATTACATTCTTTATTAAGTGAAAAATATTTTTATTTAATTAAAGTACTGGAATCACTTGAACAATACAATTTCGAATTTTCGGTACGTATTACAAGATAACTCTCAACTTTTCCCCCTCTCTTTTTACCTTTCTCATTTTCTTCTCTCTCTCTTCCTTTTCCCTCTATCTCTTTTCCCGTTCTCTATCTTCCTTCTCTCTTTTTCCCCTCTCCTCTCTCCCTCTTGCGTCGCCCGCTCCTCCTGTCCTCCCATACCCCGCCCCATGTCACACGGCAACGCCCAGCAGCAATGAAGTTGGATAGACCATAGACCCATTGCACTGAAGCTCTATTTTGTGCAGCATCGCCATCTATTAGAGATACAATAATTGTACCAAGCCTATGTTATTCTCGCAAGTGCAAGCAATACGTCGACAAAGTTTTATCGCAATCACATGAACGGTACGGCAAAACATTAAAAACGAACAACAAACATTTTTTAGCTGAACTTGTTAAATATGTCTAACAGTAAGTCTAGTTGTACAGCCCGAAGATCATTAAGATATTTAATTTTTTGGGGTACTTTACATGAAGTCATTTCCAAAACTTCGTGAAAAATTGCTGAATTAAAAAAATGGTTTAGTGTGGGTATAATTATATGTATTGCATTATATATATTTTTAAATTAAGGCGGATAATAGAATTTCATGCTATTTTCTTTCAATTACATTTTTAGAAGCAGGTTCACGTCTCTGTTCACAGTGAATGATGATTGTACAAGTATTGTTCCGGAATGTGTAAACCTCCCTCATTTCATAAGTCATCGAGATTAAATAGTGATCGAAATGAAATAATGTTTTAGGGGTTTTCGATCTTCCATTTAGTGATCATGTAGAACTTTCCTAACTTTTCTAAAGCCCTTCTGAAGAATATGACCTGCATTTCAAGAATTAAAGTTATAAAGTATTCTTTCTCAATGCCATTGAAAGGGTGTATGGAGAAGACAACCAAAACACAAAAATGTAAACGTTAAGCAACATCGCTCTCTAGACAGATGAGCACCACTCCTTTGATTTGCATCCATGCGATGCTTGCGTTGTGCAGAAATAGTCCAAGGAAGCAAAAACGCTAAATCACATATTACCGTTATTTGGTCTGTAATTTGCTGAACATTACCAACGATAGATATTATTGGAGGAAAATACACACCTCATTTACCGTGTGTATCATTGTTGCTCGAAATTTAAAGACATGCCCCAACTTTCCAAGCCTTTTTTCAACCGTATCGATTCTTGTGGCTTAGATGTTTTCTTCCATATAACTTAATTCAATTGCAGAACTTTAATTGATCTTGTGCATTTCTTTTTTTATATAAAATATTAGGAGTTGTTGAACACACAGGGTGGGGCAGGGGAACCGTACCTCCTGACAAGTTTGAATGGGGACCCGAATCCTCACGTAATAAAATAGTTACAACCCTTAATCACCGATTTTCTCCTAATTTATTAAGACAACGTCTGTCTTCAATAAAATAGTTATTGTTAAGGGAGAAACAAATTTTTAATTTTTTCAATTTTTGAAATTCCAGAGGGTATACTGAACATCGAACCCCCGTCAAGTTTTATAACCTTAGTCGGCTCAAATCGAGAAAAGCAATTACATCAAATACTTGAAGCCTGTTCTGAGAAAATTTAGAAAGTAGAGTTTATCGTTTTTAATGTCCCCTAAAAATTAGTAAACCTGTTTCGTACTCTAAGGGCCGCGCATCTTAGACAAATCGAATGGGGAAGAACAATTTTGGTAAAAAGCCTGTGCTCGATTTAGGCGTTAATGGTGTTCATAGATGGACAGCCGGATGTTTGACACAAAACCATTTTTCCGTATCAGAGTACTCCAAAACAAAATCTGATTGTGCAGAATTACATACCTTTGTCTACATTACGAATACAAGAATTAATACAGGAAATATTGTGCTTTGATCTCAACTAATAAAACAACGTATCGCGACAGCACGTTCGAGAAAATTAATTATGTATGAGACTATTGCAGTGAGAGCGAGTTCCCAAAATACTAGGTAGTTTAGAGGGAAAAATGTTATTAGCAATGATGGATTTTTTCACGAAGCGCTTGATAAGGTTCCATCTACGAGTATATTTATCATTCCCATATTTGAAACAGTTCTTCACTTCTAATTCACTAACTTTCTGACAATTTAAATTTAAATATTCATAAAATATTCCACAAGCATTTCCTTTGAAAATAATTATATTATACGGGTGCTAACATTTTCTTATCATTTTTTGTTGAAAAAGCTCGTTTCCACCTATGTTCATAATTCAACTTGTACATGGTTCTCAGAATTAAAGAAAATGTGCAAAAATGCACTTCTCGTGGTATGTCACCCACAATTTTACCTACTTTTGAAGTTAAATAAAAAGTTGTATACAATTTCCCTAAACGACAAACTTTACGCAAAAGTCCAAACATTGTATAAGGCATGTTTTAATTAATACAATGGTTTCAGGCCTTATATTCTAATCTTCAAATTTGTAGATAATTGTAATTTATTTCTGGCCTTACAGCGGCATATTTTTGTGTATCAATTTGTGAAAGGTACATTGTAGTCTTTTAGAAATAATATAGACAAAATAAACGCATTTTCTGGACTTTAATGAACTGGACCGCTATCCAAGTAGACAAATCTTGTCTTTATGGTGATCAACAGGTTCTTTGTACGGCATCCAAGCAGGGAAGGTCCCAGCCGACCATTTTGGAGGGGGCCATAATATATTTTTGTTAAATAATAAACATTTTTGTTATTATATTGTATATTATTTGTGTAATGTGTAAGTAATACTATACAATATTATTATTTTAAATAATTACATCATTCTAACAAAAAATTAAAATACATTTTCCCAAATAAAAGAAGGCAACAAACAAAAACTCTAGGCCTTTGGGGAGAAGGTGGCATGGCCCATCCCTGGGCTCACTACCGCATCCAAGTCATTTATTTTGGAACTATTGTTTTTATGGGAATTTATAAATAAATACTATTAAGTGTGTCGTTAAGTGCGATAGATTGAAAACATCAGTTACAGAGACTTAATAAACAATTATGCTAAACATTTGCTGAGACAATAATACTTACAATTTCGAGTGAGAAGAGTGAAAGAAACACGGTCAAAATCAATGTCTACTGTACTTTTTCAATGTTTTGTCGGTCTAAGGAAATTGTCTCTATGACTTATCTTTTCTGACAACAGTAAACGTATTCTAACTCGCGTCACTTGCTAGTTATCTCCCGCGCGCGCAACCAAACCGACGCGTTTCCACGTGGACACGCTCAATTGTTACGAACCACGAGGCACTTTCTAACACGCGAAAGGCGGGAAAGACAAAACTGCATCGCGTTCTGCAGGGAGTATTGATCCCATCCTCTTCCACTGGGGGCAGTGACCAACCCAGCCTTCTAGCACATGTAGACTAGGGAAATCTGCTATTCCTTGTGGAAGAACAATACACAAAACATCCAAAAACGAAAGTGCTAAAATTGACAATGTACTAATGTTGACCATGCTTTAATATAGATGGCTCTTGTAAATAACAATATAAATAGCGATAATGAATATAAATAGCGTCGAAATTCTATAAATTGCTACTTTGAATTATATTTCTCGTCTTAATACCTGCATGGAATTATGAAAACAAGCAAATGTGCCATTGGCCATGGTTAGTTCTTAAAAGCTTTCGTTTTACATACGACTTGTTAACCTAACCTAAGAATTCAGAAAGTTAGTAGTAACGGCACAGCTTTTGAAGTACATGAACGTGAAATGCATTTTGTACAAAAGTAAGAATTCATTCTGACCTGAAACAAGCTTTTGATAGCTATTTATCTAGCATGAAATACAGAAAACAGCGTACGTGTATAGAGCATTATATAACATAATATTAAACAGGGTGTTCACACTTGAAATCATTCCAAATATAAATTCGACACATGCATGGCGTACCGTGCTTCCCGGCCATAGTTGAAGTCTGTCGTGCTGGGTGTCGCTGCGTGTGGAGCCGCTCGCCGCAGAGGCTGTTATCACCTGTAGTGCTGAACGCTGATGCCGCGCCGCAGCTGCTGGCGCTGGCCGGCCGGCGCGCGGACCGCAGGCTGCACGTGACGTCACGATCCCCCACCACAGACCCTGCCCCCACCACCGCACTTCCCCGGCACGTCCGGTGCTGACAACATGGTACGCGCGGGCGCGCGTCTCGCTTCGTGCGATCGACACGCGTTGAGGCCGGTAAGGCGTCGGCGTGACCCTGAACGTATGTAGAAGTCGACTATTCATCCCGCATTTTACTTTCTCACGTGCTGCTTACGAAGTATAAACAAATAATTGTAATGCTGCGGGGCAAAACAGCGAGTTTTCGACTTTCGAACACTTATTGCCAGCCACAGGTAACGAAAAAAGTGGATAAATATTGTTCCTAAGTGTAATAAACTACTTTCTCTACTATGCTGTGTAGTCAGAGTTCATGATTTGTGGATCGAAAATCGAAAAATCGATTGTTGGCAAGCGTCTGTCTGCCTGTCTGTATGTCTGTGGTCAAAACTGCCGCCTAAACTGTTCAGACAATTTTCTTCTAAATTGATAATCACTTATCGATCTGTACGAACTTGAGGCCTGCTAATTTGAAATCGATATTTTTATTTCTGGGGCTACTTGACATGAATCTTCAACATGTTTCAAAATTTTATCAAAAACGGCTCAAAATATTTTTTAAACTTTGCCTTCGGTTAGCGTAAATGACGCTTAACAGAATGGTACATATCTAATTTCCATTGAAAATCCTAAATTTTCGTAAGCAAAAGCTCAACACTTTTTCCGCGTCTTCCTACAACTACAATATTGAAGATAGATATTTTTTCTTTATAAAATCTGTTGCATATAAACAGATTTTCAAGTAAGATATTTGTATTTTTTCGAAAATATGAGTCGTTTACGCGTAATCTTACGTGAAATATTGGAAATTTAAAATTTTTAAAACATTTTTTCTCGAAAACACCATTTTTTTACTTAAACTTTCTCCTCATATGTATCAAAAGAAGAAAAAAATTGTGCTAGTCTAATATCTAGCAAGCTCCCTGTAAAATTTGCAAAGTTTTAAAATTTCAAAAAGAACATAATTGTAGATATAGATTTTGGTCTTAGACAAAGTAAGTTGTAAAAATTCATCTCTTTAAAAAAGTCATGTAAAAGTTTTAGAAAAAATGAGTACTTTTCGCATGATTCGTGCTTGAAAATTACACAATTTCTAAAAAGTTTTTTTCTAAAAAATACTCTAATTGTTTTCTTAAAATGTTTTCCACGGACAGAAGTGCGCTTAAAAAAAACCGCGGGTCTCATTTTCATTGTTCTCTCTGAATTTTGGAAAATTGCAAATTTAGAAATAATACCAGAAATTATATGCTATTGCACCCCCACTAGTTGTCTTTAATATTCCTCCTCATACTTATGTATCAAAGAACAGCATAAAAAATGGCGCTTCTCCCATTTTCGGCGAACTCTATATTTTCGATCATTCAAAAAATATAACATTACAAAAGAACAATTTTGAAGATAGATTTTTGTCTTGAATTATATTTGTAAAAAAATTAAATATTTCAAAAGACAATGCACAATTGTTTTCAAAAAATGAGAACTGTTTGCCAAATTTCTGTTTGAAATTGATACGATTTATAAAAAATTATTTTAAAAATTCCCCCAAAACGGCTCCATTTTTCCTTTACATTTTTTCTTGCATGCTGGTAACATGCTTGCATGCAGGCCGGCAAACAAAACGGAGATGGACCTATTTTCGGCGAACTCTCTCTCTCTCCCTTTTTGATGATTTATTTACTACAAAGGTTTCATGAAGTAATTTATATTTTCAAGGTTGTGCGTCGTTGTGTGACGTTATTCGTATGTCAAATATCTCAAATGAAGATATTAATTTAAAATAACTTCCTAGAAAAAATTAAAATCTGTAACAGTAATTGCCTCTACAATAATATTTTCTGCACATTCTAAAAAAATCCACTCTCAAAGTCACTGAAACATTTTCTCGTTTTCTTATTCTTATACAATTATTTTAATTAGTCTAAAGGACTACAGAAATTCGGAGAAAGAATTCTGATTTTACAGTTGAGGTGATATTATATAGAAAATCATAATGTTTAATATTCATTGGTTGACATTCTGGAAGAGAGTATACAGTAGTTATAAATTTATATCATTAATAAATTGAGTACGTGACGTTCAGGATTGCATTATTTTTCTGAAGCTCATTATCTGAATTTTTTCTTAATTCTTGAAAAGAAATATCTTCAGATTGGTAGTACATCAAGCCATTTCATGCAACTTCAGAAGGCGAAATATATCGCACTGAATATTTCATACAATGACAAAGTATGATTTGTACAAGACATTTTTTCTCTCAAGATTTTTGATCTGGAAGCCAAGTCACTATTTGCAAGAATGAGTCGAGCACAAACATAAAACAAGTGGCTCCGGGAAAACATATTCAAGGTTGTCTTGCTTTCTCTGCGACTATGACCACGGAAAACAGTGTTTAAATACGAAAGGAGTCGGAAAATAACTTGTAAAATATTAACAAATTGCTTTAATTATCTCGATATTGCTTTAAGTTTTGAATTATCAGAGAAAATGAAACATCTTCAAATGAAAACATAGGAAGTAGGGAAAGGCAATTCAGAGGAAGCAAGAATACAGTTATCTTAAGCTTTTCCTCTAACCGATCTCAAGATCTATTATAGAAAAGGGAACGTAGTACACAATTAGACTTGGTACATAATGCGAAAGGGCTGAAAATTGAAAAAAAGATGTATGTAGTAGTTGTGAAAACACTGACAGTTCGCATTTTAGGTTATCTTACTATAAATGTAACTGCGTAATGCTACTGTAATAAATGCAACATTAAAAGTGTTATGTGTTAGGTAGTTATGTTGAAAAATGTGAACTAAAAAAATTCATGATTTAAGCGAAAAGTTTCTATTATAGTGATTTCTAGACTATTGTGGCGTCTCCAGCTGGTATTTTCATATATAGAAGTTCAATTTGTGTGTTGCAAATTCGAAGTAAATATAAATTTCAAACATTTGCAATTGCCCTGATCTTCCATTTCCTGACACAAAAAGGGCGAATAGACGGATGGGCGGATGGGTGAGCGGATGCAGGCTACTTGATTACAATATTAAGTATCTGAACGTTGCTAAATTACGTTGCAGTCTGTTTTATACATACTAAGTACGATCAATTTTTTAATTAGTTAGATTTAGATTAATACAATGCATTAATGCATTTTTTCAAAACAAAATTAATTTTTACATGAAAGACCACTTCTTAAACTATTTTTCTGCTTAGTTTCCGCCTCTCATAGCCGGAAATCAACTTTTCTCTGCCCTCTTAATAAAAAGTTGCCGCCAGTAAAGAGCCACGGATGAACACAATTTTTTTGCGGCGTCATCCTTTTCAAAGAGTCTTCCTCCAAAATTACGCTTCAAGTTCAAGAACGAGTGGTAGCCAGAAGCTGCGATGTCGGGGTTGTATGGAGGGTCATCAAACTGCTCCCAACCGAATTGTTGATTGATTCGAGATTTAGAGCGCATTAACTGCTTTGATACCTAGTCCCGTAAGTGTAGTGTGTGTTTTCCGGAAGACGGCGGTGTTCTTTCCCTGCTGGATGGTGAGATCCGGCGCCGACCTACCTATCGGCTAGCGAGTTTTTCTCCAACAAGGTATCTCCCACCAGAGGGGGGACCCACCTCAGCTGGGATAAGCTCCAAGCTCCCGAACGGTCTCTCAGCATGTATGTTAGTGTAGTGTATGTAAGGGTGTGAGTAAGTAAGGGGCGAGGATAGGACAAGGAAAGGGGAACGAAAGATCGCCAATCCGTGGCCCGTTTGATAGGGTATTGCTCCAGAATTCCCCTGATATTGATCGGAGAAGCCACAGGAAACTACCGATCAGAACAGCCGGGTGTTAGAATTGTCCCCTAGTCAGCGATTGCATTCGACCTAGCTGACAAGCTAATGTCGAAATTCCTGCCACCATCAGGACACGAACCTAGGATCTCCCGGTCAGCTGGACTGCAGTGACATCATCGCAAAATGGGTACAGCAGAAAATATGGACGTGCTTCGTGATGAAGCAACACTTGACGCCTTGACTGAGCATTCAATGCCTTTTCTTTAGAGATGCGAGTCAAGTGCTCACTATGTTTTACATAGGACGCGAGCCAGAAAGGAAAAACACGTATCATGAGCTCAAAGCTAAAACTTTTCATAAGTTAGCCAGTGTTATGAAAAACAGGGAAACGCAAGTATGACGGTCTGTAGGTGTGGGCGTTGCGTTGTACAATTTTTTGAATATGTCGAAAATAACTACTCCATTGGACAATGAATATTCACCTAATGTTTGTTGAATATTGTTCGGTTGGTAGCCAAAGTGTGAAGGAATTCTATGCCGTGCAGATATGGCGTCGCAAATTGTTCGCCACATTGAATTCAGTGTCATTTTTTAATGCCCGATTGTATTACGGGCTCAAAGCTAACTTTTTGTTTAACGGTAGAAAATTATTTTTCGTTGCCGATTATGACCACGCCATACCGTTTTTGTGTCTCTAAAAAACCGCCATACTGTTTCAAAAATGTTCAATTTGTCACTAGGTCATGTTTTATACCTACACATCCTAGGAAAAAATTACATTGATTTTAAAGTCTGTTAGACGAGTCTGTAAGAGCTATACCGATTGGATGTCACGAATGTGAGAAATTAACCGGTAAAGCTGTAAAAGTTTTACAACTGTTATATATAATATGTACACGTGCCACTCTTCTGTTTTTTAGTGACGTTTAATGTCTTAAATACCGATTTTATATATATATATATATATATATATATATATATATATATATATATATATATATATATATAAATTGTGAATTTCAAGGGAATTTTTGGTTCATTATTTCAGGTTTATTTTATATCCGATTAAAATTAAACAAAATTTCTCCACAATAATTGATGTTATTAATATAAAGATACAGCAAAATTGCAGGAACTAGACATTTCAATAGCTTTACTTTTCCTTAAAAAAATCAAGTATTTTCAATCGTTTTCTTCGTACATTT